CAATATGAATAAAACCAGGGTTCTGTTTCTGTAGAAGAGGAGAGATTGAATTTTGGCTAAGCAACTGGCAGTCTCTGTCACATATGCTCCTAGGCAAACCATTTGGCTAGTTTAACTAGTCAAATTGGTGGGTAACTAGCTTGTGGATAAGTACCATGATCATGTCAGAGGCCTAAAGCCTAGAGGCTAGGAGTACTACACCAATAAACAGGTGGATGGATATTGAATTCAAGGACTAAAGAAGACTTAGATTTACCTAGGTCCTTAGTGTATCCTCATAGTTAAGGCCACAGAATAAAAAGAAAAGAAAGCCAAGGATAGAAGTGTGGTGGGCATCAACATTTTAAGAGGAACAAAAAACTAAGAAAAAGTCACAGAAGTAGAAAAGACCAAGACTATTTCAAGGATATATAAGGGTCAAGGATGATAATTATTTAAAAAGAGCCCATGGGGTCTGGCAATCAGCTACTTAATGCTGAGTAGTTTCAATAGAGTGGTGGGGGTAGAAGGCTGACTAGCAGGGATTGCAAAGTGATTAGGAAATGAAGAAATGGAAAATGGCTACACTGTAGACAGTTCTTCAAATTCCAGTTGCAACCCATTCTGGATGTGTGACCTTGGACAGGTCTCTTAATTTCTGGGTATCTTAGTGTCTTTATCTTCATTTTTCTAAAATGAAGCTAATAGTCACCTTTATAGAGTTGTTTTGAGAATTAATTGTGTTAATACATGTAAAGTATTTCTAACAATGTCTGTTGTATATAAGCACTTAATCAAGGGGGCCAAGTAGTGGCACAGTGGTAACATAATTGGACCCATGGTGTGAAAGGTCTTGGGTTCACATCCCAGGACCTCCCTGAGCACTCTAGGTGTGCACAAATGCCCATAATCTGGGCCAGCTGAGACTGGGGATGGATCATGGCGTGAAGACTCTGCTGGAGTGCCTCTTTCTCTCTCCCCCTTTCTCTCAGTCTCTGTCTTTCTCTGTCATGGAAAAGATAAATAAACTTTCAGAATACACATATTTAAAATAAATAAGTATGGGACCAGCAGGTGGCGTGGCAATTAAGAGCACTGGACTCCCACATGGCTGACTGCAGTTTCAACCCCGGACCTGGAGGCTTGCTTTCTCGCTTTCCCTTCCCCCCCCCCTCTGGTCAAATTAAAAAATAATAATAGCAAATAAAACTAAATAATTATTTAAAAATAAATAAGCACACAATAAATGCCATCATTGTCATCATTAGCATTAGTATCATCATCCAAGGAACTTGGACCTAAAAGGCAAAGAGACCGGTAGTAAGTAGATGAGGATATAGAGTAAGGGAAGTATATTTTTTCCCTTAAGGTTTAAAGGAGTGTCTTTTAGGAAAACTTATTCTTTATCTCTAGTCTGCTCTATAGTTTCAGTTATCTGCCTATATTTATAATGCTGTGCCAAAGTCTCTAAATCTCTTGTTTCTTCCCAAGCCTGTCAGGTTTAATGTTGGCTTCTTCTACCCCCTCACTAAACTAGATAAATATTTCTGTGTATTCTTCTTCCTTACTTATTTGTATTTAAAGAGAAACACCCACATGCAGAGTTCACTTGGGGTTTCGTTTTGTTTCATTTTTCTATAGGTCACATGTACTCACCGCAGGGAAACGGAGATAAGGAAAGAAAGGAAAAGTGAGAGATCACGCCCCAAGGCTATGGCCATACCACAGTCCCCTCTACTTGATTCTTCTCTCAAGATTTCAGACATGGGACCAGCAGTTAGCGTAATGGCTATGTCGCTGGACTCCCATGTAGTCGACCGCAGTTTGCGTCCTGGACCTGGTGGCTTAAAACTCACGCTGGGTGCATGTGCATGCGTACCCAAGATCCCAAGAGGAGAACGGAGGAGAAGGGATTGTGGCGTGGCCATCCTCCCTGGAGGGTGCTTTCTCGCCCTCTGTCTCTCTCTGTCTGGTAAACGCACACGCCCTATAGCAAAAACCTCTCCAAAAAAAAAAAGATTTCAGACATGCACTCACACATGCCTGGCATGTTTTTCAAGTCGCCAGATCTAGGACTCCATCTGCACAGTTGGCCATGTGGGATCCAGCTCCTTAACCACCGTGCCACCAGCTAGCCCAGAGTTTAGTGGATTTCTTTCATTCATATTACTGGGGCCAAAGCTGCCCTCTATTTGTCCAAGTGATAGCATATACTGTTTGGTACATAAAAGCTGCTATATTATATGGGCATTTTAAACTAGATGAAAATCTAAAATGTATTTCTGTAATTAATATTGGCAAGGAGTTACAGTTATTTTATAAGCACATGAAAAGTGACAACATACAGTAGGGTTTTAGGGCTATGCGGTGAGTATGAACGGATACATTTTTTCAGTACTTACAACATAATTTCTAGAATAATTGGCTTAATAACATTTTAAGATATCATCCTATTTTCATATATTAGACAATAAACAAGGTTCCTGCTCTTGGCTTAGTGGTTTTGTAAAGCAATTAGGAAAAAATGACTTGTAATGTTTTATGCTTTTAATTTTCATATTATTCTGTATTTGATGTTTTTGAATTTGTTAATTAGGCTTCTATTTTAATAATTTTGTAGATGCACTTAGACTCTAAGTGCTACAAAGCTTAGACTTTGTAACTGGAAAACTGCCGTCCCCTACCACCTACCCACTTCCCACATGGTCTGACAGGAAAGGAGCCGGGAGAGTAAATATCTTGAATTCTCTCTCCTGCTCTTCATCTTCCTGGGGTTTGCCCCATAAGCATGATCAGAGGTGGGGGGCAAGGGAGCCTGGTCGATGTAGTCTATAAAGACCGGCCTCTTGGGCCAATGCCTGGAAAGGGTGGAGTAATCTAGAATGACACACACAGCATCAACCCCAGTGGTTTTGATTTCCGTGAATATTTTTTATTCTATGTGTGTTCTTTTTTTTCCCCTTCTTTTTCTTTAACAGGATCCTATTCCTGTATAATAGATGCGAATTCTTTTTATATCTCTCTCAGAATATTTTTTCTTATTCCAGCACAGGTTCTGTTCTGTTTAAGTTGCTGCTTCTACTCATTTTGGTCTCCGTCCTTCATTTTAAGAGACTTTGCTCATCTGTCTGCTCATATTGAGCTGGGCCCCTACAAGTTGATTAGACGCTTTGTGCACGTGGAGGTCCCTTCTCTATTCTCATCTCAGGATTTTAGGTACATACACACACATTCCTCGCATGAGTTTTAAGCCACAGTGTCCAGGGCTCAAACCATGGTTGACTACATGGGAGTCCAGCAATGTAACCTTTATGCCACCTGCTGGTCCCTTTCATTTTTAAGTTACTTGTATTTTTTGCAGTTATTGGATTTCTGTGCATTGATGAAAAAAGCAATAAAACCAAACTGGTCCTAATACAAAGGCATTTTACTCCCTAAGGAAACTGTAAATTGACTCCCTATCACATTCACCACAATAGTTTTTCATAACTGTCTTCAAGCCTTTATCTAAATTTTCAACTCACCATCAGCCCCTATCACTCCATAGAAGTGACCACGCTTATGTCACTTCCCTGAAAAAACAAAACCATTCAAATTACACTCTCTTGCATTTCTCTCTTGCTCCTCCAGTTTCCTCTTTCTTTTCACCCATTATCTTTCTTTTCGTTCTGTATTACAGGAATAATTATCTTTTATCTCTAAGATTAACCTCCTATACCTACATAAAATAGTAGGAAACCAGCATGTACAAAATGCCCGGAAAGTTAAAAGGGCAAAGTTGTTGGAAACAGATTTTTCTTTGTGGACAAGTAGACCCAGTTTGAATGCCAATTCTGCCACTTCATACTAAATAACCTTGTACTTGATTTCTCTTATCTATAAACTGAGGCAAGCAAATGCCAGCTACCTCATAGGGGTGTCGGGGGATTAAACAGCATGTTCTCAGCTCTGCCTACATGGCAGCTGCTGTTGCTGTTATGGCTGGAGTGAAACTGACAGTACATCTTAGAGTAAATATTTGTTTCTCCCTAGAATAAGTATTTGTTTATATTTCTGTCTCTTGTACTAACTATAAACCATAAACCCCTGGGACCAACATATAGCATAGAGGTTATGTTGCTGGACTTCCACATGGCTGACCACAGTTTGAGCCCCAGACCCGGGGCTCAAAATCACGCCAGGCACATGTGTATGTGTGCCCAACATCCTGGGAGGAGAATGGAGAAGGGATTGTGGCATAGCCATCCCTCTTGGGGGATGATTTCTCACTTTCCCTCTCACTTTTGTCTGTCTGTCTGTCTGTCTGTCTGTCTCTCTCTGGTGAATGCATGTGCTCTAAGGCAAAAACCTCTCAAAACAAACAAACAAACAAAAACCTATAAGCCCTACAGAGTTAAGAACTCTTTCTCACACTATTATTATTATTATTATTTGCCAGAGAGCACATGCGCTCACCCAGAGAGAGGCAGAGAGAGGAGAAGCGTGCACACATGCACACACGCACACACACACACACACCCAGTGGGACATGGTAATTCCACAATCTCTTCTCCATTTTTCATCCTCTCAGGATTTTGCTCAGTCACTCACATGAACCTGGCATGTTTGTTCAGACTTCCAGGGCCAGGATTTGAACCACATGATCAGCCATGTAGGATCTGACTCCCTTAACCATTCACTAGGCTATAGGACCAGCCCTCACCCTTGTATTTTAAACACATAGCATGTACCCACCATATAAAATAAATGTGCGCTATATGTTGAATAAATAGTGAAGCCTCAGTTTACATGGTTAGAATGGATAACTAAACTCATTTTTTCAGTTTCTTGTGGGGAATTAAAACTTTCTAAAGATTTTCAGATCACAAGATGAGGAATGTGCTTCATTCCTGTCCACTGTTTACAGATACTGGCTTTTAGTGTATCACTTTGCATCAGAGACTTGAGTGCAAGTGTGTGTACACTTTTAACATGTCATTGGTCATAGTTAATTAATTGACTCTTTTTTCCCTTTCTTTCAGGGAGGTGGTGCAAGCCAACTGTGTTCACTGGAGAAAAAAGTTCTCATTTATGTGCAAAATGAGTGCAAGCGCCACCACGGGCATCCTCGATCCCTGTATCTACAGAGTATCTGTGAGGAAGGTATAAAAATAGCCTGTCCTCCCCTCTCAGAAACCGTAATTAGCTCCATAGTTACTGAATCCCTCATTCAGCTCTGCTTGATCATTATAACTGTTATATGCAGTTGCATTCCACCGTTGCAGCAATAATTTACTGACAAATATAATGAAGAAACTAAAATTATAAATTAAAATATTCAAGAACCTTCATCTCATTATCACCATATATAAGCAATATCCTTATCTGTCTTAGTTTGGGGACTTATATGTCTATCATGCCATTCATGAAATTTCTATTTGTTAGGCACTGTTCTGGAAACTGTATCTGTGTATCTGCAGCAGTTGGGGGAATAAGACTGTGTGAGCAATTTCATTGTATCCACATGGTGAAGATGACAGCAAGGCTACCAGCCCTGGTGGCCTTCAAAAAGTTTATGGAGAATGCATATTATGAGCAAACTATGCATGGATTTCAAAATTTTCTATACCAAAATACATTGTACATTAATTCCATTTTTCCACAAACTTTTGAAGTCTCATAGGATTATGTCTGGTAACAACATTGACATTAGGTGTTGTTTTCTTCATTTTCTGGAAGATCGAGGCTCAGAGAGGTTGAAGTTACTTGCCCCAATGTACCTAGCTAACAAATGGTGAGGTAGGGAGGAGACTCAGACACCAGTCTGTCTGATTGCAAGTCCATGTTTTCTTTCTTATGTTTTTTGCACGTGTTCAGTTGAGGCTTATTAGCAATTTGATATAGTTCAACTTAGTATGTATAGAAGTATTGTGATCCTGCCTTTATTGAGTAAAACAAAAGAGGAAACCATTTGCTGCCAGTACCAGTGAAATAAATTGGCTTTAAAGTGCCTAAATTTTATGTTTTACATTGTATCTACATTTTATGGCAATAAAGTAACATGTACATGGTCAAAAATTTAAAGAATGAATAAGAATTGTAATGCAAAGATGAGCTTTTTGCCATGTTCTTTTCCACTCTAGTTCTGTATCCTTCTATTGGAGATAAAAAAATATATTTTAGTTTCTGCTTTTTTAACTGACTGATAGCATTATGATCTTTATGGCCATATTTTAAGTTCTGTCAATAAAATTTAATCTGTCAGTTAAAATATAAATACACCTGATGATAACATGTATGATTAAGCCACTATGCAGTGCATTCCAGATGGGAAATCACATTTTGTATGCTGTGACGATGCTCAGGGAATGAATGTAAATTAATTAATTTTTTAAAAATGTTTCAGAAAAAAGTTACAGTGCACTTGTAACTAGATTCCAGCTTTGTCCATATTTTTAGTTTAAGATATTTTGTGAATCAATAAAATGTGGGGAAAAAAATTTTTTAAATATAAATACATACCTACGTTAATTGATTTTACAGGTGTTAAGCCTTTAACAGAAAGAGACCTTTGAAATAGTCCTATTTGGAGCAGCAGCAGCTGTGTGGAAGTTTCCCTAAAGGAAGTCTGATACAGTGAAAGTGTACTGTTCATTGTGTCATGCCTATCTGGATTTGAATCCCAGATATACCGACTATTAACTGAGAGACCTTAGGCAAATAGGACTTTTTGAATCTGTTTCCTTGTCCAGATAAGAATATCATACTTGCGTCTCAGTGCAGTTATAGGGATTGGTTGATGTAGAAGTAAAGCATTATGCCATCTTTCCTTTCTTCCTTGACTGCTGTTGCTTTTACCGAAACCTTTCCTAAATGGAATTCCAATTAGGATTTTTAAAAGATAATCTGTCAGTCTTTGAATTTTATGAAAAATAAAACATGGGGCCAGCAAGTAGAGTGGTTGCTAAAGGTACCAGACTCCCACATGACTGACTGCAGTTCAAATCCCAGACCTGGCAGCTTGCTTTCTCTCTCATTCTCTCTGTCTCTCTCTAGTGAGCACACATGCCCTTTTACAAATTAAAAAATAATAACAAGTAAAATAAAATAATCTTTAAAAAAAAAGAAAAAGAAAACATATGACTAGTGTAGAGTAAAGCATAATTGCAAATAGAAGAAATTCAGCATTTATTTATCTGGTTTTTTTTTTTTTTTTTTGAGAGGTTTTTCACTATAGGGCGCGTGCACTCGCCAGACAGAGAGAAACAGAGACAGAAAGCGAGAAATCACCCCCCAGAGGGGATGGCCACGCTGCAGTCCCTTCTCCTCCATTCTCCTCTCGGGATCTTGGGCACACACGCACACGCGCCCAGCATGGGTTTTAAGCCACTGGGTCCAGGACGCGAACCGCGGTCGACTACGTGGGAGTCCAGTGACATAGCCATTACGCTAACTGCTGGTTCCCTCAGCATTTATTTAAAAATAAATAGATAAAACGTGGGGCCAGCAGATGGCATGGTGGTTAAGATGCTGGACTCCCACATAACCAACTGCGGTTCACATCTGGACCTGGTGGCTTGAAAACTCACACTGGGCATGTGTGCATTATGCCAAAAATCCCAAGAGGAAAAGGGATTGCAGTGTGGCTGTTCTTCTGGGGGGTGCTTTCGTACTTTCCTTTTCGTTGTCTTTCTCTGTCTCTCCAGTGAGCACATGTACCCTATGGCAAGAACATTAAGGGGAAAAAAAAAGTAACTGATAGTGCTATTTAAGGTAGGACGTGTTCATCTGAGATAAAGCAGTTCCTCAGGTGTAATGGGACATATATGATATACTGCTAAAACAGACACCTGAATAGACAATGGCTTAAACAAGATAGAAGTTTATGTCTCTCTTGGGTAACACTCAAGTCCTACAGGACTAGTCATGCATCCTGGCCATCATCTTCACCACGTGAGGCCAAAGAAATTGCTCATGCAGTCTTATCTCCCAGCCAGTAAAAAAGGAGACAAAGCCACATAAGAACAAATGGGCCTTTTTTTCAGGGCATCACTGAAGAGTGGTACACATGACTTCTCTGCATATCCCACTGGTTAGAACTGGGCCATGTGGCCACAACAAATTTGAAAGAAAGGCTGTGAATGTAGTAGTCTCTACTAGGTGGCCAACAGGGTCTAACATTGAAGAGGGAAGAATGGATATTGGTAAACCATTAACTCTCTTTACTATCTTTGGTTAAATGGAGGTCTTTATTGAGCTTACTCTGTCTAACCCTTCCAAAGTATTATCTAAAAGTCAGAAGCTATAAAAGGAAAATTAGGGGCCAGCACATGGCACGGTCATTAACACACTGGACTCCCACATGGCTGACGATGGTTCAAGTCCCAGACCTGATGGAACTCTCCACAGCAAGTGCATGTATCCTATAGCAAATTAAAACACAGACACACACACACACACACACACACACACACAAACAAAACAACAACAACAAAAAAAAGGATGGCATGCCCAAGATGGCAAATGCTGCTGAGAGGTTAAGGAAAATGAAGACATAGAGCCTTTGGCTTTAACAAAATGAAGACCATTGGGAATCTTAAGAACTATTACAGAGGGAAAATTAGGAAAGATACTGGAGTGGGTTAACTAGAATGGGATACAACAAATATAGGTAAGTCTTTTAAAGAATTTGACTATATATGGGGAGCAGAGAAAATAATTAGAGGAGACAAGGACCATCTGGAGTAAGTTTTGTTTTTGTTTGTTTAATAGAGGACATTATTAAGAGATATGTCAATGACCTAATAAAAAAGAATAACTAATTCATAATGGGGTAGACATAGTGGCATTGCCACACCTGACATCCATGGGGCAGGGAAGAGAGGCAGCAATATTCATGAATAATAATAGAGTTTATTACAGATTGCTTCTAAGTTTATTTAAATTCACTATTTTAAAGCTATAAATGATAGATCATACATTATGTATCTGGTTTGTGGGGGCAAAAAAAGAGACAATTCCATTCAACATATACATTTTAAAAAGTGGGTGAGGGTAAGGGAGCTCGGCCCCATGATGATAATGGCAACCATGTAGACAGACTATACTGTTTGCTGGGCATTGTTCTAAGTGTTTCACATTTCATTCTCACAGTTGCATGATGCCCTAAATCCTAACATTTGGCAAATGAATGTACAATTATGTATTTTAAGTTAAAATAAAATGTTAGTATGTATATAATGTTTATTATTTTTCACTTTTTCCAGTCTTGTTCACATTAGATAAAAGGGCTTATACTTTACTACATGTTTTCATTTATATGTATAGAACATCTTTTGAATAATTCATAAAAACTGATAACAGTAGCTGTCTCTGGGGTGAGATCTACAGTGTATTAGTTTCCTTAACTAAATGGTTGAACCTTTCTTGGGTGATTCAGGTTTTAGCGGTGAACCCAGGACATTTTTTGGCTATTTCTTCTTCAGCAAATAAAATATTAGCTTGTCTTCTCATCATTCATCCTGTTTATATTAAAGTTATATGTTAAATAAAAATTCTGGTCATATTGAGGGGATATGGAGATCCAAAAGGCTGGACTTGAGACATTAGAATTTTACTGTCTATGGATCAGCCGATGGTGTGATTGTTATGTGGCTGGATTTCCACATAGCCCACCATGGTTCGAGTCCTGGTTGCAGCGGCTTAAAACTCATGCCGGGCGTGTGTGCGTGCGTGCCCAAAATCCTAAGAGGAGAATGGAAGAGAAGGGATTATGGCATAGCCATCCTCCTGGGGAGTGGGAGTGACTTCTCACATTCTGTCTCTCTGTCTCTCCAGTGTGCACACATACCCTATAGCAAAAATCTCTCTTAACAAAAAAAAAAAGAATTTTTCCATTTATGATATTTGCCAGCTATTATAAAAGTTTATTTCAAAATTATTTAAATTTAAATTCTTAATTATGGTGTTTTCTGTCTTTGGCAGGAATTAAAAGGTGGAAAAGCATATGCTAAGGTAAGTTAATGTTCTTTAACTCTCTTGGAACTTGTAATATCACTCATTGCTATTTATGTTCTTAAAAATTAAATGGTTTTCTCTTCTAATTGTTTTTCAGAAGCTTGGTTCTTTTTCAGTAAAGCAACTTGAAGATTGAACAGTTGGGTTGAACAACAAATTATAGGCATATTCTTTCTAAATGCTTATTATAGGATATTATTCTTTAGTTTCAGCTTTCCTACTAAAGGATGATCTCTGGCTTGCATTAAGCCGTAGCAACAGATAATTCAGTCTCAGCCGCATTCCCGGGGCGCACCTCCCCCAGGGGAAGGCCCTCTGTGCTTTCCCAGCACTCTGATATATCTTGTTACTTCTACTAGCTACGTGGAATGAGTGTCCTCACTTTTTTGCCTAATTGTAGGAATTGGTCATTAATAATACTACCAAAAACCCGCCTATTCCTCTTTTATTTCCACTCACTGAATGGAATCTCTGTCAATGCAATTGTCTGAGTCAGGCACCTGGACACTAGTTTTAACTACCTAATCTACCTAACTTCCTCAATCTTCGTTACAGTGTCAGTTGGGATGTTCTTTGCTATAAGTACCAGAAAACTCCCCTCAAGTGGAAATTCTTTTAAGGTTTATTTTTAATTATTTCTTCCATGAGAGAAAGAGAGACAGAGACACAGGTACCCTCCACAGGGCCTCGGCACACTTGGATCTTCCCATCAGCCCTCCAGCCAGCCAGGATCACAGGCACATGCAGGTGGACCTAGGGCAGTTAGGTTGCCCTGGCATCGGAAGCCAGGCCTCCCCCACAGCTCCAATATCACCCAGCTGCACACGACTGCCTGTGCCACCACAGCTGAGCCTAGATATTGCCTTAATGTCGCAAAATGAGAAGATGTGAGATAGAGCTGCTCCAGAATTAGTTTATCCACTGACTGAAGAACATCAAGAACTCATATTGTTTTTCTTTTTTCCATTCCAACATTCTGTGTGTGATGACTTTGTCCTTGGCTAGCTCCCCTCATGGACACAGATGGCTGACTACTTGATTTTTAGTCAGCACATCCCCATATAACAAAATCCAGCTGCCCCTCCATGTCTTATTTTTTTGAGTGAAATGGTCCTAAATTACTTTTTATTATTTTTTTTTCCAAGATGGCCCTCAGAGGATTTCCCCATCTAGGCCAGAACTAGATCATATGCCTACCCTAAACCAGTTGTAGGTTAAATAGGAATGGATTACAATGTTTTGCTTGGACAAAGCACAATTTAACAATGAACCAGGGGTTGTATTACCTTCCTTTGCATGTGAACGAACTGAAAGGAATCCTGAATAGAATCAACAGTTTGTGAGACCAGCAGGTGGTGTAATGGTTACACTGCTGGACTCCCACGTAGTTCTATGGTTTGGGTCCTGGACCTGGTGGCTTAAAACTCTCACCAGATGGGCACGTATGGGTGCGTGCCCAAAATCCCAAGAGGTGACTGAAGAGTAACTGGAGGAGAAGGGATTGAACTGTGGTTATCTCCCCTGGGGGGTGATTTCTTGCCTTCTGTCTCTCTGGCAAGCACACACACCTTATAACAAAAAATCTGAAAAAAAAAAAAAAAAAAAAAAGGAAGAGTTTGCCCATAAGGAATAATAGGGCATTTAATGTTGGATAGGCACAACAGGGTATGCTGTATGCTGTCATTAACAAATTCTCTTGATTTGTCCTTCCTAAAAAGCTCTTGAATCCATACCTTCCTCCGCCCTGCCCCGGGCCCCTGCCTGTGGTACCCTTGTTGTTTCTTATTTGTAGCCTGCATTGGCCTCCTGTCTAGCCTCTCCGCCATGGTTATAATCTCCTTCCATCCTCCATATAGTTGTCAGTGTTCTCTCTAAAATTAAAATATGATCATATCATTCCCTCACTTTTAGTCTTCCATCAGCTGTTATTTACAAAGGAAGATGAAAACTTAACCTAGCATGTAAGATTCATCTTGTTTTGCACATCATCTCTTCTCTTTGACATCTGCACACGCACGCACACACACACACATTCATACATTCCTTCTTATGCTTCAGACATACAGCTCTCATGTACTTCCTGGAGTTTCCCATGCTATTTTCACCTCCTTGCCTTGTGACCCAATGTTTTCCCTTCTGTGCATGTATTTCTCCACCCTCTAGTCAGCTCATGTGTCATTAAAGGCTCAGCTTAGTCATCTCTCCCCACTAAGAACTTTTCATTTCCTATCTTTCTTGTAGCTGTGTCTTTCTCTGTCATAGAACTTATCACACTGTGTTGCTGGAATTTGTTTTGTTTTCTATCTTCCCTTATAAACTATAAGCATGAGAATGATTCTGTATTCCCAAACCTAACATTACCTGGAATGTAGATACTGAAAATTATTTTTTGAATGAATTAAGATCTACCACAGATAACTAATATTTATGTATTCATTCCATTTTCATGGGACAGTCATGTAAGTGAAGAAAAAATAAACAATAATCATAGGAAACATGGACTCTCTGTTACCTTGCAAGAAAGTAAGCTCTTCGAAAGCATACTGTTTGCCCTGTTCTTCAGTGTTTTCCTGTGTCTAGAGTAGGAACTCATATGTAAAAGGTGCTTAATGAATATTGACCTTCCTCATGGGTAACCTTCAGACTACAACATCACATCGACATACCCTACCTACCTTTTAAAATACGTTCTTAACAGAGACTGTCTTAGTTTGGACTGCTACACCAAATTATCATGAACTGGGTGGCTTACACAACAAACATTTATTTCTCACAGTTCTGGAGGCCAAGATATCCAAGATCAAGGTGTCAGCAGTCTGGTGTTTGGTGACGGCCAATCTTCCTTGTAGATGGTTGCCTTCTTGTTGTGTCTGCACATGACAGAGAGAGAAGTGAGCTCTCTTAGGTCTTTTTAAAAGAACATGAATCCATTCATGAGGGTTCCATGCTTAAGACCTAATTATTTCAAGGACCATACTACCTAATACCACCTTATAGGGAGTTAGAGTTTCAGCATTTGAATTTGGGGAGGATACAAACAGGCGGTCATGATAAAGACTAATCAGTTTCTTGATAAACCAGTGGGTCATTTTTCATTCAAGAAATATGTAGTAAGTACCTATGATGTGCCAGGTATTGTTCCTGGCAGTCATCTAAGTATTGGATACAGCAATGAACAAAACAGAAGTCCCTGCACTCATGGAGCTTACATTCTAGGGAGCAGGGGAGCTAGAGATGGTAACAAAATCAATGTGACATATGTGTATGTGGTAACTACTAAGGAAAAGGCTAGAGCAGGTCAAGGATGGGAGGCAATGACTACAGGGTGAGGGAGGAAAGAGGGGCATATCATAGCATGGTCAGGGAAGGCTCCTTAAGAGAGACAGCATTTGAACATTGCCCTGAATGGAATGGGAAAGAAAACTATAAGGTTTAAGATTGTTTCAAGCAGAAGAATAGGAAGCGTTAAAGGTGATTTAATGTATAAGACATTGTGGCTAACAGAGTAAATAGGGTTGGATGGGGAGATGAATGAGGTGGCCAGAGACTTTGAAATCAGACAGCATAGATAGCTCTTTCAATGAGTTTTATTGTAAAGGATAGAAAAAGGTCTACTAACCTGAAGAGAGATGTGGGATGAGGTTCTGTTTTGTTTTCTTTTTTGTTGCTGCTGTTGTTAAGGTAGGAGAAAATCAGGGCCAGAGGGTGGCATGTTAATAATGCAACTGGAGCCACCTGAGAAGGTCTCAGGTTCATGACTGGGCCCTCACTGTGCACACCACACTGGTATCCAGGCCAGCTGAGGCTGGGGATGGATCACAGCATTAAGACCATTTTAGGGGTGCCTGTTTCTCTCTCTCAAAAAATAAATAATCTTTTAAAAATTAATGAAAAACCAGGGACCAGCAGTTGGCAGAATGGCTATGTTGCTGGACTCCCACGTAGTTGACTGTGGTTTGAGTCCCGGACCCATTGGCTTAATAAACTCACGCCAAGCACATGTGCATGCGTGCCCAAGATCCTGAGAGGAGAATGGAGGAGAAGGGATTGTGGCGTGGACATCCCCCCTGAAAGGTGATTTCTTGCTTTCTGTCTCTCTGTTTCTTTCTGGTGAGCACACATGCCCTATAGCAAAAGCCTTTCCAAAAAAAATAATAATAATTAATGAAAAATTAATACAATTAATTTTTAAAGATTAATCATCTTTTTTTTAAAGAAATAAAGACAGGAGAAATCCAGCATGTCATATGCTGATGGGAATAATCCAGTAGAGAACTGGGCTTTTAGAATGCAGACAGGATCAAATTGCTGAAGTGAGGAAAGTGGTGAGCGTGAGTAGGCAAGAGGAGAGTGGCTGGCCTCAGACAGGCAGGCGCACAGCCAGTTTGTCCATAGTACTGCAAGTGGGAAGGCAAATTTATGGGCACAGATGCAGGTAGGTGAGTAGCTATAACTGGCAATAAGGGTTTGTAGAGGTTAAGTGCTCTTTTGATTGCTTTTCTTTTCTGAGTGAAATAGGAAGCAAGGTCATTAACAGAGAGGATGGGAAAGGAATGTTGGAGGTTCAAAGAGAGATAAAAATATTTGAAATAGAATGTGTTGATATGTATGACTAAATAGTCACATGCGCAGTTGGGTATGGCTTTGCCCTGGATAGAGCCAGATTTTTTCTGCTGATTTGTTGACCTCTTAAAAGAGGCTGTAAGACCATCACAGTAGCCATGCGAAAATTACGTAGATGTCCCCTGTAGCTTGACATGTGTCTGACTTCTTACATTTGGACTTGTCCTAACTCTGCTCTAAGTTCTTATTCTTTTTTTTTTTTTTGGTATCAGTTAAAAGCTACTAAAACAATGTTCCAGCTTGCAATTAAAATCTTTGTCATACGCCATTTGAATCTGCCCACTGTGTGTTTTAAAACCTTAAACAACATCACAGCAGTGTTTGAGTGTAGATGAGCTTAATTAATTGCAAGCTCAATTCACTTTTTTAATAAAAATGAATAAAAAGCTATATATATTTTTAATAAAAGGCTATATATATTAGTCATGTAGAGTAGACCTAGTTTGTTCCAAAAATAATGATGTAACAGAGTTGATTTGTTGTTCCACTTGGAAGTGAGACATAGGGTTATACAATCTCAGTGAAAAGATTGTAGGACAACCTTTGGTAGCTGCAGAAAATGGAGACTAGAGGCCTGCAGGAGACCTGCAGGTGGCCTGGTGGTTAAGGTGCTGGACACTCCCATGTGGCTGACCATGGTTCAAGTCTTGGACTTGGTGGCTTGCTTTCTAACTTTTCCCCTCTCTCTCTCTGTGTCTCTCTCTGGTCAAATTAAAATAAATGAATAATAAATAAAATTAAATAATTTTTTTAAAAAGAAAAAAAAGGAAATAGAGACTGAACCTGGATAGTAACAAGGTGGAGGACAGGTTTGAGCTGAACTAGCAGAAGAGATGGTTTGTAGAGCCATGGAAAATGGGAGAAGTGGGTTCCATTAAGAAAGATTCAGCTCAGAGCTGACAGGTGGTGTAGTTGTTAAAGGTGCTAGACTCCCACATGGCCAACTGGTTCAAGTCTGGACCTGGTGGCTTGCTTTCTCACTATTTTTCTCTCTTTCTGTCTCTCTCTGGTCAAATTTAAAAATAATAATAGTAATAGGGGCTGACAGGTGGCATGGTGGTTAAGGACGCTGGTCTCCCACATGGCCAACTGCGGTTCAAGTCCCAGAACTGATGGCTCCCTTTTTCACTTTATCTCTCTCTCTCCCTCCCTCTCCCTCTCCCTCCCTCTCCCTCTCTGGTCAAATTTAAATAAATAAATAAATAAATAAAGTTAAATAAAATAATTCTAAATAATAATTTAAAAGTAACGTTAAATAAAATAATTCTTTTTTAAAAAATGAAAGATTCAGCTCATGGATGACAAACGTGCCAAATATTGAGGAAATTGGTGAAAGAGAAGGAGCTTTTGCCATAGAAAGTGTAATTCCCTTCCACCATTCTAGCTCTTGCATGGAGACCTCAATAACCCACAACTGTCTGCAGTCACCAGGCACTAAGCATAGAGCCAGATCAGAAGAGGGGCAGGAGAATCTGGCCATTTTTCTATACATGCATGCAAATGAACATGACTGGCTTATTAGTATTCCCCACAGTGTGGTGTAAGTACCACTGTTGCTTACAGTGGTTTTAGTTATTCAATATACATTACTTTTACTTTAACAGAAATACATTTTAACATGTACAGAAAAAAATATATTTAGTACATCAAATCTGTGATTACAAATACTCTGTTGCTTAAGACAACAGTAGACTAGTGAATTTTTATAAAAAGTGAACTAATTTAAAGACATAAAAACATAATAGTACAGGTATTGTCAAGATGGCAAGAATTACAAGTGACTGAAGTTGGAGACAATTTGTCAAGAATATGGTTTGAGTTTATTTTAGGGGGAATATGATAGAAGCCTACTTGATAGTCTATTAATATAATTATCTTTCTTTTCATAGCTGGGCTTTGCAGATCTAAACCTGGCAGAGTTTGCTGGCTCAGGAAATACCACTCGTCGCTGCTTACTGGAAGGCTATGATACCAAAAATACAAGACAGGATAATTCCATTCTTAAAGTAAGCATGTTTCAAGATCTGCATGTCAACAAATGAGAGTCTCTGCTTTTAAGTAAACACAAGTTAACACTGTCAAGGACAAGATGGGACTCAATACTGAGATCAGAAGCCAGCCACACCACTGAATATTCACCACCTAGGGACAGAAACCTGTCCAAATCACAGAAGCAGTGTAGAGTAATAAACGTTCACCTTCATGGTCCAATGGTGTTTCTCTTTCGGGCTGTGAACATCCAGAGAAGAAAACACACATCATTACAACATAAGAGCTCATTGGGAGGAAGGAGCAAGATGAATGAATGGATACCTTAAAATGCTTAGGGCTCTCAAAGTTGATTTCCAAGGTAGCTGTGATGTGTACAGAGAAGTCACTGGATTCCCTTGTAACTACCGAAATGACAGGTGAACCCCACTTCTGCGCATCTACCCTGTTTTTCCAAGTACCATTAGGAAGCATGTACTCTAATCATCAGAGAGAATACACTTCATAGGGTTGATGAGATTATTAAATGTCATCAGATGAGAAAATGTAGAGTACTCTGTACCTAGTAAAATTCACTGGATAAATCTTTGGTTGTATTTTAGCTAGACTACCCCATGATAGTAAGCTATTAAATAGGAAGAAAGAAGTATAATTCTGAATTTAAATCGTGTGGTCAGGCCCAGCCTCTTTGACACAGTTGGTAGTGTACTAGACTCTAGAACTGGAAGCCACATGCCACCTACAGTCCAAGTCCCCAGACCAGTCTGCCTGAAAAACAGTGGGCAACCCAGTATCTTGGGAGACTAGAGAAATGGAAGGAGGAGATCACACCCTGACCAACCCTGTGGAGGGCACTTCTCTTTCTTTTCCTTAAAACACACATGTACTCTATCACCAAATTTTACAAAACTACAGGCCAGCCCCATAGCCTGGTTCTTAAGGGAAGCCAGATCCTTTGTGGCTGACCACAGTTCACATCCCAGCTTCAGCAGCTTAAAAAAAAAAAAAAGGTGCATGTGCATGCATTTCCAAAATTTTAATAGGATGGAGAAATTGAGGACAAGGGACTGTGCAGTGACCATGCCTCATCAGGGCATGCATTTTTCTTTCTCCCCTTTCCCTCTTTGTCTCTATTTCTCTGGAGCACCCACATACCCTTTGACAATCTGAAAACAAAATAAAACAAAAATAACTGGTAAAAAGTGGAGCAAAAAAATTACAGGTTTCAAAAAACGTTGAGCTCTGAAAAGATGAAAATGCATAAGACACTTACTGTGGCAGTTTCATCCCTTGCATAGATTCCCCTGCTGTAAAGAAAGATGAAATGGATAAGTGATGTGTGGAGGAACATGATGGAAGAAATTAGAAAAGTATAATGTGTAGGGGCCAGCAGGTGGTATGGTGGTTAAGGGTGGTGGACTCCCACATGGCCAACTGTGGTTTGAGTCCTGGACCTGGCAGCTTGATCCCCACCCCCCCCTCATCCACCTCTGCTCAAATTAAAATAAATAAAGTTAAATAAAATAATTATTAAAAAAGGAAAGTATCATGTATAAACTTCTGTATACATCATGTTGAATTTTTACTTTTATAGTTACGTAGCTCTGAAATGTTTAAGAGCACTTGCTCATACCTCTGTGAGATAGGCAGTTAGGTAACAGGGAATGATTGCTATCCCCAGTTTGTAAATGAAGCAAAGACTCAGAAGGTGAAGTATCTCACAAGCGATCCATGGCAGAGTTGAAATCAGAATGCATATTTTCTGCTGCCTGACCAGTGGCCTTGTTCCTTCATATTTCTTATAAGAAAGTGGATAATCCTTCTCTGAATTACAATGTTTTCATTAGAAATTGAAATACTGTGGTTTTGTTTGAGATGTTTTTGCCTGAGGGTGCATGAGAGACAGAGACAGTGAGAGGGAAAGTGAGAAATACCTCCCAGGTGGAGGATGGCCACGCCACAATCCCTTCTCCTCCATTCTCCTCCCAGGATCTTGGAAATGCACGTATATGCACTTGACGTGATTTTGAAGACATTGGGTCCAGGACTCGAACCACAGCCAGTCATGTGGGAGTCCAGAGACATAACCACTATGCCTTCTGCTGGCCCCCTGAAATTTCAAATTTTTCTTTTAGAGAGATTTTTGCTATAGAGCACATCCACTCGCTGGAGAAACAGAGACAGAAAACGAGGAGAAATCACCCTGAGGGGGGATGGACATGCCACAGTCCCTTCTCCCCCATTATCCTCACTGGATCTTGGGCATGGATGCACATGTGCCAAGCATGAGTTTCAAGCTGCTTGGTCCAGGACTCGAACCACAGTCGACTATGTGGGAGTCCAGCGATGTAACCATTACACCATCTGCTAATCCTGAAATAATGTTTGAATGTCAGATCGTCATATTCCTCAGGGCCAGTTCACAGAGTGGTTTCCTTCTGACTGCCCATTAATTCTTCCACACCATTTTCCCCACTTTGTCCTATAAAAATACTCTTTTTCAGTATTTCAGGAAGCTCATACCATCCTTTTCTGATCTTTGTCCTCTCCTGGCCACCCAATCACCTTCGTTCTACTTAGCTCCTAGCTAGTTTTCACTCCGTCCCTTCTCATGTCTTCCCCATCTGTGTGGGTGAGCTATCCTTGTAATTGTTTTTTCTATATGTACTCTCCCACCAGCTGACCTGAAATGAGCCTGAAGCTTCTCAGTTCCTTTGGCTTCCCATCTCTAGCAACCTTTTTCTCATCCTTATCTCATTTCCTACACCCATGATCACATTCTAGACTTTCTTACGACTAGAACGCCACCACTTCCAAACTTTCAACTTAAAGTTTTCCTTTCTCTTATGTTTCCAGCCCTCGGTCTACTCAGCATTTAGCTATCTTTAATCTTACTACTTTTCACTATCCATCAGCCCCCACTTGCTTTCACTTCTCTCTTTAACTAGTTTAGATTCGGTGATTCATGAATATCATTCCCTTAAAAATACTCCTGGCTCCTTTGCCCTGGTTAATTTGCCCTGAATAATTCCTAACCTAATTGAATTCAACTATCCACCTTCTCTGGAGTCTGCAGTTTGTCTGCTGAACATTGTTGGCAAAGATCACACAACAGACTAGCTGACATTCTGCAGGCATGCTCACTGCCATCTAGCAATCAATTGTACTCAACTTTCTCTGAAAGCTTCCTCTCCTGGGGCCCACAGGTGGAGTGGTAATTAAGGGGCTAGACTCCCACATGGCCAACCATGGTTCAAGTTCCGGACCTGGTGGCTTGTTTTCTCACTTTCCTTCTCTCTCTGTCTGTCTGTAATCAAATTAAATAATAATAAATAAAAATTATTCTATTTTTTTTTGAGGGAAAGATTTTTGCTATAGGGCGGGTGTATTTGCCAGAGAGACAGAGAGACAGAAAGAGAGAAATCACCCTCTATGGGGCATGGCCATGCCACAGTCCATTCTCTTCCATTCTCCTCTTGGGATTTGGGGCATGCACACACATGTGCCCAACATAAGTTTTAAGCCACTGGGTTCTGGACTCAAACCGTGGTTGACTACATGGAGGTCCAGCGATGTAACCATCATACCATCTGTTGATCCCAATTAAATAATTGTTAAAAAAAATTAGATATTAGATCCTCTGTTTAGATACACATTCTTTGTCCTCACACCTCTGCACACTATTCTAGCTTTCAGCTAATGGCCTTGCTTTTTCCTTTATTGAGAAAATAGGGCCATAAAACTCAAAATCCTTTATCTTCCCATTCCAGATTTTACAATTCTACCTGTCTTTCCCATCTTATGATCCTTTCGCCTCCTATTAAAATGAACAACTTACCTCTCTGTCAGAATTCAATCTTCTTTGAGTTTTTTTCATCTATAGCTTGCCTAATCACGAGTTTGGCTTATTAAAGTATCCCTTCTGTTTCTCTCTCTAGTGAGCCATTCTCATCAACATACAAAGAAACAGTTCCTGTACCTCCCATATTTAAAAAAAGAATTTAAAAGAGAAAGCCAACTTCTCATCTCCTCCACCCACCGTCCCACTCTGTCCTGCTTCACTACCCAGTGTCTTGGAGGCTGTGTGCACCCTCTCCATCTCCTTCCTGAGACATCCAAGATATTTAGGAGTGCAATTCTGATGGAGCTGGAAAGCAAACTGCAGGGTTCTATGAAAGGAGAGGGGCGAGAAATCCAGCATAGCAGATAGGTTTGGCATTTAAAGAAAAAGAAGAGAAAAAGACTCATCATGCAGACACTGGGGTGAAAGATACATGTTTAAGATACATGTCAGCCATTTTCTGGGGGGAGAAAATGCAACAATACACATACCTTGTTAAGTCCATGAAAATGATCTATGCAGTCCTGGGTTCATGTCTCAGCTCTGCGCTTTAGCAGTTATATGATCCTGAAATATCGCTTGGAGGCGAGACCATGGTGCAGCAGGAAAACGTGCTCTGTGAGGCTGACCCACATAGGAGGGTTCCAGGTTTGCATCTGGAGACGTCCCTGCTTACTCGAGGCACACGCATGCCTATTATCCAGGGCTAGTCGAAGCTGCGGCTAGATTATGGCATCTCTCTCACTCATAGGAGAAAGGAAGAGAAGAGATCACTTACTCTCCCTGGGCTTAAAATAAAAGTATCACTCTCTCTTGGGAGTATCAAAGATTGAATGAAATAATGAATATATTCAGTCATTGGAAAAGTCATGACGTATTGTTCTGTTTTTCTATGCAAAAATGCATCATGACTTCCAGTGACCCAGTAAAATGCTTAGCTTGAGTCTAGTGTATAGTAAATGTCCAAATTATGGTTATTGTTGATGTTGTTATTACCATTGTCATTATCCTCATACGAACATGAAAAAGTCCTATGCTAATACTTAAAGGAAGCCAGCAACAAGAGAACACAGCATCTCAGAAAGCTATAAAGAGCTTTTAGGTCCTGTCCTAAAGATGAAGCAAGGAAAAACAAAAAAGTGCATTCCTGAAAGCGTCAACATGGCAAATTGGAGGGAAACAGTAAGCACCACAGGAATCTGGGAGTAAAACCTCCCATCAGCACAGCCACACAGCTACGAGATTATTCATTACAGGTGGAGCACTTGCTTTCTATTTCCACTCTGATTTTTTGCAGTTTTGAATATTAAAAATGACTTTTTTTCTGGGGCCAGCAGGAGGCATGGTGGTTAAGGCGCTGGATTCCCACATGGTTCGGGTCCCAGATCTGGCAGCTTGAGATCACACTGGGTGCATGTCCATACGTGCCCAAAATCCTAAGAGGAGAAGGAGGAGAATGGGTGGCATGACCATCCTGGGAGATGATACCTCACTTTCCCTTTCTCAGTCTCTCTCTGGGGGTGCACATGTGCTGTAGCAAAAATCTTTTTTAAAAATGACTTTACTTGAGACTTCTGCCCCTAAACAAAATACAAAAATTGAAGAAAACAAACGGCCGAAAATTATGTCTATCGAAAGCAATAATTTTCATAGTGGATATAATCCAGTCTATCAATTATTTAATGTACTCTAAATAGAAAATACTGGAGTAGGAGGAAGCATAGATTAGCAGAACATGGCTTCTGCTGTCCAGTCTCCTATGGCCCAGCTGCTGTGGGGCGTACTGCTAAGCTCTGTAGGTTGAGACCACATGGGAGGCCTGGGTCCAATTCTCAGTCCAATCCGAAGGCCACATGTGATGGCATGCACCTGCAATCCCAGTGGCTTGGAGGTCTGAGAAAGGAACACAAGCTCAAGGCTCACCTGGGCAACACAGAAATACTCTGCTAAAAAAAGAGCTGAGCATGATGGTTTATGCTGAGAGACTGAGGCAGGAGTATGGTAACACAATGAGATCATCTTTAAAATGCAAAAGCAATTTTTTTTTCTTTTTTTGGAGAGGTTTTTGCTATAGGGCACGTGCACTCTCCAGAAAGACAGAGACAGAAAGTGAGAAATCACCCTCCGGGGGAATAGCCATGCCACAATCCCTTCTCCTCCATTCTCCTCTCGGGTTCTTGGGCACGCAGGCACATGCCCCCGATGTGAGTTTAAGCCGCCTGGTCCGGGATTCGAAATGCAGTCGACTATGTGGGAGTCCAGTGACATAGCCGTTATGCTAACTGCTGGTCCCCAAAAGCAAATATTTTATAACCATATTTCTTGTTCTTATGTTTAGGTTTTGATCAGTATGCAGCTGATGTCTGGTGACCCATGTTTTAAAACGTAAGTTGATTCTGAAGAAATGGGTTATTTATCTGAAAGTATAAGAGAGAGTTATATGTTTACATTAATATTTTGCAGTGTATTGGCATTTGACAGGCAAATACCAATGAAGATAGTTCTTTCCTGGTGGACTAACCTCACTGTCATAGAAGATAATACTAATTGAGTATTCCTTATCTAAAATGCTTGGGGCCAGAAGGGTTTCAGATTTTAAAATATTAGCAAATACATAATGAGATATCTTGAAGATGGAACCCAGGCCTAAACACAGACTTCACTTAACTTTAGCCCAAAGGTAATTCTATACAATATTGTTTTATTGCAGCATTTTGACTGTGACCTGTCACATGAGGTCAGGTGTGGAATTTTCCACTTGTGGTGTCGTGACATTGCTCAGAAACTTTCAGGGCTTGGAGCATTTCAGATTTAGGATTTTTGGATTAGGGATGTTCAACCTGCAGTATCTATCACCAGGTGAGCTTGCTAAATTCTGAATTATTTAAACCATAGATCTTTCGTCATCTTCAGGTTTGGGGTGAAATTATTCAAACTAAAATTTTAATTTGGCTCCCTGAGGATGCTAGGCATGCACATGCCCATGATATGGGGCCAGCTGAAGACTGGAGTGGCTCACAGCATCGCAGCTCTGTTGGGGGTGCTCTCTGTATGTCTGTCTCTCTCGAGGGGAAGAAATAAATTATTCTTTTTAATATGGTAATAAATGCTTTGGAGAAGAATAAATCAGAGTAGCAGGGCCACAGTGGAGAGAAATGTTGCAATTTTATAGAGTCGTCAGAAAGGCTTCGCTGGTAGAGATGACAGTCGAGGAGAGACCTAAGGAGGTAGGAAACTAGCCATGCAGATATTTGGGGAAAGAGCATTTGAGGTGGAAGGAACAAGGACTGAAGCTTTGAGGGAGGAGTGTTCTGGCATGTTCGAGGAACTGTCAGGAGACCAGTATGTCTAGAGCACTGAGTGAATGAAGAGAAGGTAACAGGAGATGAGGTCAGATGATAGCATCTCAGAAGCCAATAAGGGCTTCCATTTATATTTGGAGTGAGAGGAGCAGAGGAGCAAAAAATTTTTGGCTTATGGCTGTTAATTAGGGAATAGACAATTTGTGGGAACAACAAAGAGTACAAGGACAGAAATAACAGGTGGTGTGGTGGTTGGGGCACTGGACTCACACACAGCTGACCATGATTCGAGTTCTGGACCTAGCAGCTTACTTTCTCACTTACTCCTTCTCTCTCTCACTCTTTCTCTCTGTCCCTCTCTGGTCAAATTAGAAATGAATGAGTGAATAAATGAATGAATAAAGTAAATTTAATAATTTTTTGTTCTTTTAGTAGATTCTTTTTTCTTTTTATTTATTTATTTATATTTAATCACATGTCTTTACAGTGTACAACATTACTTTATCCTGCACAAATACCATGCATGTCAGCCAAGACAAAGATACTACTCTATACCTTATTAGCAAATAGCCTCTCATTTTTTTGTCAGTTAAGCATACTTCTAATTGTTTTTTCCTTCTCCTTTTCCCTCCCTCCCTTCCATACTAAACTTCTTTTTTTCACATTTTATTGATTCACAAAATATCTTAAACTAAAAATATGGACAAAGCTAATGGCAAGTGCACTGTAATTTTCTTCTGAAACATTTTTTTCCTCTCTCCATTTCCCCTTTTACTAAAGAGAGGTATAAATTAACTTATCTGCAAAAAATTTAAGTGAATCTCAATTTGGTCTATTATTTGCACAAAGACCCATAAGATTTCAATTTCTGATGCAAGGCAACAGGTACTATTACTGTGTTTTTGTTTGTTTGTTTGTTTGTTTTGGAGAGGTTTTCGCTATAGGGCGCGTGCGCTCGCCAGACAGACAGACAGAGACATAGAGACAGAAAGCAAGAAATCACCCCCCAGAGGGGACGGTCATGCCGCAATCCCTTCTCCTCCATTCTCCTCTCGGGATCTTGGGCACGCACGCACATGTGCCCGTCGTGAGTTTTAAGCCACCGGGTCCAGGACACGAACCGCGGTCGACTACATGGGAGTCCAGCAACCTAGCCATTACGCTAACTGCTGGTTCCCGTATTACTGTATTATTGAACTTATACAAATAACTATTCTGTCACAAAATAAGAATGCTCACAAATATTTTCGAATTGCAAAGGAGTCAGGAAGGGAGAAAAGTTTATGTTTCAATTTAAAAAATTAATAAATTGCTGAACCTATCAACAAGTCACAAGAGAACCAAAATCCTTAAATCTGGAAGGCAAGGCATAGAAAAAATCAATAATGTTTTAGACAAAAGTCATAGAATTCTATTTCTCCAGTTCAGTCTCATGTAATCTCGCTTTTGTTGAATTTGCAGTGTGTTACTGTGGTATGATCTTTCTGTTTAAATCATGGAAGTTAACTTTCAACATTATTATTGATAGTTCCAAACTTGTTCCTACCATTAAGTTGGCCTTTTTCTTAGTCATTTTTGTTCTCTTATTTCTGTCTGTCTTTAGTTTTCCTGAGATAGCACTCCTTTCAGAACTTATTGAAGAGCTGGTCTGGTGTTGGTAAATTCTTTCAGGTTTTGTTTATTCGAGAATGTTTTGGGCTTTTCTTCCCATATGAAGGATAATCTTGCCAGATATAGTATTCTTGGCTGAAATTTTTTTTCACTTAACACTTTGAATATATTTTCCCATTCTTTCCTTGTTTGCATGTTTCCCACAGGAGTTCCAATGTTAGCCTGATGGGATATCCTTTGAAAATAAGTTGATGTTTCTCTCTTGCCAATTTTAGTATCTTGTCTCTGTGGTTTTGGTCAATCTGGCTGTGATGTGCCTTGGAGAAGATCTTCTCGGGTTGATTCTATGTGGGGTCCTTTGTGTTTCTTGGGTCAGGATATTTGAATGCTGCTCTAGGTATGGAAAGTTTTCTTCCAGGATTTCATGGAATAGATCATCAATGCCTTTATTAGTTTCTTCACCTTCTAGGATACCAATTATTCAGATGTTTGGGCATCTGATGGATGTGGTATTACTCGTATGTTATTCTCACTTTTTTGGGTTATTTTCTCAGTCTTTTTGGTGAATTTCTCTAGATCAGAGATTCTGCCTTCTACATCTGAGAATTGATATTCCGCATGATCTAATCTGCTTTTAAAACTTTCAGGGGAGGTTCTGATTTCCTGTATTACAGCCTTCAGTTCCATTTGATTCTTTTTTATGGTGTGTATTTCCTCTTTCAGATCATGCAAGAACTTTCTCATCTCCTGGAATTCATTGTCTCTTTTCTCCTGCATCTTCTGGAGTTTGTTATCTCTCTTCTCTCGCATCTCTGTTAGCTTTGTCACTATGAATATTCTAAATTCTTTATCTGACATTTCTATGAGTTCTGTTGTACTGTCTGTGGAAGATGAAGGACTGTTCTTTTCCCTTGGAGAGAGATATTTTCTTGGTTTCTCATATTTCTTGTGCCCCTGCAGTAGTGATGTCTGGTGGTCTGATAGAGTATACATTACTCCCTACTTTCTTGGAGTTAAATTCTGGGTGTTAGAGGCGTAGGGTAAGAGATGACTTGCAACATTTCTGCAGTTCCGTTTTCCTGATCCTCATCAAGCAACCTGCACTTTTATCGATGGAACTGGATATTACAAAGGCCTCACAGTTTCTAGAGAATAGGTGCACCAGGGCTGATGGCTGAATTTCAATTAAGAATTCAGAAGCCTGTGGGAGGAGATGAGCCTCACTCTCTGCAGCTCTGTGTTTCTCCCAGCTGCTCACATTGCATTTTCTCTTCTCTGACTTTTAGTCATTTGGTGGTATATTCACATTTGGCTAATTCGTTGGAGATTTCTGCTACTGTAAGTTCATATGCTTCACTTGACTGTGAGGTACTTCTATACCAATTTTCCCTCTACAGCTGTGCTTTGCAACATGGTATCCACAGAAGGAGATTTGAATTCAGATTTAAGAAGATGAGTTTCCCCCTTTCTGTAGCAGCAGTTCAGTGGGGATTGAGGTTTTTTTGTTTTGTTTTGTTTTGTTTTGTTTGCTATAGGGCACACACACTCTCCAGAAAGACAGAGAGAGAGAGAGAGAGAGACAGAAAGCGAGAAATCCCCCAGGGGGATGGCCACGCCACAATCCCTTCTCCTCCATTCTCCTCTCAGGATCTTGGGCACACACGCACATGCGCCCGGTGTGAGTTTAAGCCACTGGGTCCGGGATTCAAACCACGGTTAACTACATGGGAGTCTAGCAACATAGCCATTACACCAACTCCTGGTCCCAAGGTTTTCTTTGGCTTTCACTTTACTAGGAGTTGGGCTGGAAGGAGAGTTTTGGGCCAGAGGTTTAGGCTTTCTGGTTAAAGGGGCAGAGCTAGGCCCACTTCAGTTGCGCATGGATTCTCACTTCTCTAGGAGCTGGACCCAATAAAATAATTATTTTCTTTTTGGAGAGCTTTTTTGGTTTTTTGTTTGTTTATTTGTTTGCTTATTTGCTATAAGGCATGTGTGCTCACCAGAAAGAAAGAGACAGAGAGACAGAAAGTGAGAGATCACCCCCTGGGGGAATGGCCACACTGCAATCCCTTCTCCTCCATTCTCCTCTCGGGATCTTGGGCACACACGCACACGTGCCTGGTGTGAGTTTAAGCCACTGGGTCCAGGACTCGAACCACGGTCGATTACATGGGAGTCCAGTGACATAGCCATTATGCTAACTGCTGGTCTCAATAGAATAATTCTTAAAGAAGGAAGGATGAAAAGGAAGAGAAAGAGAGAGAGAGAGAGAAAGGAAGGAAGGAAGGAAGGAAAGAAGGAAGGAAGGGAGGGAGGGAGGGAGGGAGGCAGGCAGACAGGGAGGGAAGAAAGAAGGAAGAAAGGAAGGGGTAGATGAGGCTATTTCAGTAATGCAGGGTTTGGGGCCTGAGAAACTAGAAGAATAATATTTTCATTTAGTGAGATGAGAGAAACAAAAGGAAGAGTTGAGAG